CTTCACAGTACCAGTAGCCCAGTGGATTTTCACAGTACCATACAAGGCACCTCACGTAACAGCCCATAGGCCTCAAAGGTACCCAGTAGCCCAGGGGCCCCTCACAGTACCAGAACCCAGAGACCTCACAGTAAGAGAACCCAGGACCTCACAGTAAGAGTAGCCCAGGGCCTCTTCACAGTACCATACCCAGGGACCTTCACGGTACCATTAGCCCAGGGACCTCACGGTGCAAGTAGCCCAGGGGCCTCACTGTACCGGTAGCCCCTGACCTCACAGTAAGATAGCCCAGGGACCTCATCGTACCAGTATCCCAGTGGCCTCAACAGTATCCATAGCCAAGGGCCCTCACAGTAAGAGTAGCCCAGGGACCTCATAGTACCAAGTAGCCCAGGGGCCTCACAGTACCCAGTAGCCCAGGGGCCTCACAGTACAGTAGACCAGGGACTTCACGGTACAGTACCCAGACCTCACAGTTACCATTAGCCCAGGGACCTCACAGTACCAGTAGCCCAGTGACCTCACAGTACCAGTAGCCAAGGGACCTCACAGTACCAGTAGCCCAGGGACTCACAAGTACCATAAGCACCAGGGACCTCACAGTACCAGTAACCCAGGGACCTACACGTACCAGTAGCCCAGGGCCTCACATACAAGTAGCCCAGGGACCTCACAGTACCAGATAGCAGGGACCCTCACAGTACCAGTAGCCCCGGACCTCACAGTACCAATAGCCAGGGAACCTCACAGTACCCGTACCCAGGGACCTCACGGTACCTCGTAAACACCCAGGGACCACACAGTAACAGTAGCCCAGGGACCTCACAGTACCAGTAGCCCAGGGACCTCACAGTACCAGTAGCCCAGGGACCTCACAGTACCAGTAGCCCAGGGACCTCACAGTACAGTAGCCCAGGAACCATCACAGTACCATAACCAAGGGGACTCACAGTACCAGTAGCCCAGGGACCTCACAGTACCAGTAGCCCAGGGACCTCACAGTACCAGTAGCCCAGGGACCTCACAGTACCAGTAGCCAAGGGACCTCACAGTACCAGTAGCCCAGGGACCTCACAGCATACCAGTAGGCCCAGGGACCGCACAGTAACCAGTAGCCAGGGACCCACAGAACCATAGCCCCAGGACCTCACAGACCAGTAGCCCAGGGAACCACACAGTAACAGTACCCAGGGACCTCACAGTACAGTAGCCCAGGGACCTTCACAGTACCAGTAGCCCAGTGACCTCACAGTAACCAGTAGCCCCCGGCCCTTACAAAATCTTAATCCGGCTCCTTAGTGACTACATACATGACATACATATCACCAGAAACAAGTAAGACATGATATGCAAGTCACAGAACACAGTTTGAACAGGATATATTAGAGCGAACACAAGTAAAGCAGAAAACAAGTTAGCCAAGATATACTAATCAAGGAACACAAGTTGCACAAGATATACTAATCAAGGAACACAAGTTGCACAAGATATACTAATCAAGGAACACAAGTTGCACAAGATATACTAATCAAGGAACACAAGTTGCACAAGATATACTAATCAAGGAACACAAGTTGCACAAGATATACTAATCAAGGAACACAAGTTGCACAAGATATACTAATCAAGGAACACAAGTTGCACAAGATATACTAATCAAGGAACACAAGTTGCACAAGATATTCATTTCACAAAACACGTGTGTTGCACATGTTTATAAATCACTTAACACGAGAAGGAAAATTTACTCACCAAGTAAATAAAGGACAGGAAATTACAGGTTGATTAGACAAAAAACTGAACAGAATATTCAGGTCAAGAGATTAAGAAAGACAATATATACAGACATGAAAACATTTAATAACAGTAAATTCAGGTCACGGGAAACAGGCAGACAGGTTGTACAGTGTCACGGTAAACAGGCAAGACAGATACAGGTCGTGGGAAACAGCAAGACAGGATGTACAGGCATGTTAAAACAGGTTGGACAGTATGTACAGGCGCGGAAACAATCAGACAAATGTACAGGTCACGAGAAACCGGCAGGACCGGATGAACAGGTCAAGGGATACAGACAAGGCAAGAAGGACAGGTCAAGGCTACAAGGCAGGACAGAATAATAAAGGTCATGTAACCAAGGTTGGATTGTATTTATATATTCACTAAGAAAGACATTCCGCTTTTTTTTTGACTCACATTACTCAACAAACTGTCATCTATAAATTAACACACTGAACATCGGTTAATAACCTTTGCCCAAATAAACAGACGAAATGACTGCACTGTCTTCACACATACCAAACTAGCAATACAGATTGCGTTTCACTCACCTCCCAGCACTCCAAGATTATCTGTATCCTGCGGCATCAACTGGATAAATATTTTCCTGTTTAAATTAAACAATCATAACCTTTATTATTTTTCCACATCCACTTTTTAACAAGGTAGGATAACCCTTGAAGGAAAAACATTTATCTTATTCCCCAAAATTGTTTTCTGGCATAAATACTTCTAAGTGGAAAACAAATCCAGAGTCCCGTCATGAACAAAGACTTGTGTTTTTTTTAAAATAGGTTGGATAAACATGAGTGGAGTGGGTGGGTGTGAGCTGGACCTGACTAGTTTGTGCTACTAGGTCGATCTGTGCCCTTTTAATGAATGTGAGGGGAATTGGGCCGCCTCGTATGGGCCAGTGGGCCCCGTGCAGTGTTCCCCTTTTTTTTGTTCTTAATTCAGGTCTGGATAAAAAGGATTTTTCCGAAACGTTTATATACTAATTTGTCACTCAAAATTCAAAAATTTCCCAAAAAATCACTTCCCCCCACAGGTCAAAATGCTCACACTTACCCGCACAGCTGCTAACATGCTCACACTTTCCTCACAGCTGTCTAAAGCTCCCTTACCTGCACACTTTCTAACATGCCCACTTACCTGCAAGCTGTCTAAATGCCCCCCTTACCTGCACAGTGTCTAAATTTCTACACTTACCTAAAAAGTGTCTAAATGCTCAACTTAAACCCGAGGTCTTAAACCCCCCGCCAACCCCCCCCTTCAAACAAAAACTATTCCCTTCTTTGTAAAACTTTTCCCCTTCCAAATTAAAAATTCAAAACCTCAACTTCTGCACCTGGGTTTTCATTAAAAATACAATTTTTCTTCCCAATTTTTGGGTACTTTAATTCTATATTGCTTTAAATATGAAGCTCCAATTTCCCTACCTCCGTTTCGCTAAATTTCACCTTTTCCTCACACCAAAATTATTACCCCCTGGCTAAATGATTTCATTCTCTCCCCTTACGCCTTTTTTTTTCCCCAATTTAAGCAACAATAAATTTTTCCTTATTTATATGAATTTTTTCAAATTTTAATGATCTTTCCCAAACACCACAGTAAAAAATTTAATTTTTTCTAAAATTTATTCCCTTACCTACACTTCTGTCTAAAATTCATTTTTTATTGCCTAACTTTTTCTACCCACGTTTTCTTTCCCTTTTTAAACTTTCTTCCCCCTAAATTCCAAACTCTTCCACTCTTTTC